GTATCAACGCCGAAACCTACTACCACTTCGCCGACAACGGTTACGTTACACCCGCGCGAGTCAACACCGACGAAGCAGAACGCATAGGACCCAATTTCGCACCTGATCCAGAAGCGGGAGATGAAGCAGTCTATCCCGAGGACACAGCTCTCCCTCGCTACACACAGAGTGGACTCCAGATACTTGGACTCGTCACCGCAGTCCACGGCACCGCGCCACCTAAGGAGCCTGCCACAGTTCAGCAGGCTCTGGGGGGGAGCATAGGGAAAAATGGCGTGAAGCCATGGACAGAGAGTTAAAGGCATTGGAAGAATGCAACACCTGGAAAGTCGTTCCCATCGGAGTGGCACGCAACAAGACGTCAATTCTCACCGGAAAATGTGTCTTCCGCGTGAAAACAAAAGCAGACGGCACCATCAACAAGTTTAAGGCGCGCTGGGTCGTACGCGGCTTCGACCAAGAGCACGGACGAGACTTCACCGAAACGTTCGTGCCGGTCAGCCGACACACCTCACTTCAAATTCTCCTCGCGATAGCCGCCATGAAGCGGAAAAGGCTCCGACAAATCGACGTCGCCAATGCCTTCCTCTACGCTCCCGTCGATGCTGAGATTTTCGTCGAGCAACCGAACGGCTCTAATGCAGACCCCAACCAAGTCTGTCAATTGCTGAAGTCTTTGTACAGCATCAAGCAAGCTCCGAGGCTGTGGCAGCAGTACCTACACGCCCGACTCATCCGCATCGGATTCCGCCAGCTACCGCACGACCAGGGCATGTACCGACTCACAAAAGGCACCAACTACATCCTGCTCATCGTCTACGTGGACGATCTACTCTACATCGACTCAACCGACGGCATCACGACCTGGTTCGAAGGGGAGCTACAGCGGGACCTCACACTCACCGTGTCATCTACCGTAACGCAGTACCTCGGGCTCAACATACAGGAAGAAGAAAGCGTGATCCACCTCAGCGCCGCGAAATACGCCGACACCATCGCCAAGCGCTTCGGACTTACTCCAACTGCTATCTCCACGCCATATCGCTACACCGCCGGAAATCCCAAAGAAGCCTCCGCGCCACTCATGCCCGCCGGCATACGCAACTATCAGCGAAAGCTAGGATGCCTGCTATTCGCAGCCGTCACCTGCCGACCAGACCTATCGTATTCGGCAAGCCAGCTCGCCACCTACCTCAAGAAACCTGAAGCAGAGCACATGGCGGAGCTCGACCGCGCACTTCACTACCTCGTCAGCACCCCGACAATCGGCCTAACCTACCACAAAAACGGAACCACGACGCCTAAGTTAATCGGCTACGTGGATGCAGACCACGCTGGCGACTCCGACAACATGCGCTCGCGCACCGGCTACATCTACCGACTCGAGCCTATCGGACCTATCTCGTGGCAGTCGAGCAAGCAAGAGCTAATTGCTCTCTCCTCAGCTGAAGCAGAATATATTGCACTCTGCTCAGCCACCAAGGAAGGACTGTACCTTCGCGAACTACTGGAAGAAGCGAAGTTGGCCCAGTTACCCAGCTTCTCCCTGTTCTGCGACAACCAGTCAGCAATTCGCATAGCGAACAAGAACGGGTTCGCGAACAGGACCAAGCACATCGCCTTGCGATATTTCTTCGTGAATGAAGAACGAGATCGAGAAGGGGAGACTCGAGTTGTCATACTGCCCCACGTCCGAGATGGCAGCCGATTACTTGACCAAGAAGCTCGGAAAGCAGAAGTTTGAACACTGCATGCTGCTGACTGGACAAGGCCACGTCACCAGCAGCGACACTCCAGAAGCGAAGGGGAGTGTTGGAAACAAGTAACTTAAACGCTTCTGATGTATCGGAACATTGAACCGCAAACGAAGCGAACCACAACGAAGCATCTGCGAGTTAACCGAGGAGGTTGACAACACGTAACTGCTGGAGGTTACGCGAAGGTCAAAGGTCAAGCGACCTTTGACTCGACAAATACAGCGCGACAGCAAGGACAAACAACTGACTCGCTATTGAGCAGTTGCCCGAGTCGTCACTGTATCGAACCGCAACAGCAACAGTAAAACGGTTATTGCATCCTTTCATATTCCTTGTAATCTTATAAAAGGCTTGTATTATTTTTCTATAATCAATCTATCTTGCCCTCACATACTAGCGCAAGGTGGTTCAACACTTACCGTCATACCCCGGATAGAAGCGCCCCTGGGGTTGTAATAAAACACTGTTTTTTAGGGGGTGCGCTTATAATTGAGGAAATTTATAAGCGCCGGCGTTTATATAACGGCAAAATGAAATTAAGTTTTCTTTTTAACAACAAACTGTAGATTTCGTTCTCAGTAATCGAGTCGAAAATATATGGGGTCGCGAATTTGACTCTCGAGCAACTTGCCAACACATGCTGACTAAGCGATAGCTCGTGCTGACTGGACGCGCCGCAAGTGTGATGTGAGTGGGGAAGTGGAACTGTACTTCGCTTCCCTCGTAAGGTGAAATTCGTTTCTGTGTCTCGTTCTGATTTTCAGATAATATTCGACATGCGCTTATAATAAATCATAAATTTTTAGGGGGTGCGCTTATAATCGAGGACCGGATATAAGCGCCCTCATCCCTTTATAAGCGCCGGCGCTTATCCGAGGCCTGCGCTTCTATCCGGGGTATGACGGTATCATTAAACGCTTCCGCAATTACAACATCTTTGTCAGGAGCTTTAGCCTTCAAAGATCCTAAGGGCTTTTCTCGGCCCAACAAGGACGTCCACCCCTCCCATAAAACAAAACTTATAAGGTTGGAATCGAAGGTGTGCACTGGCCGTTAATGATCGTGGCAATGAATACCAACTGTCACTAGCGCAATTGAGCAAATGAACGATTGTACAATGAATCTATTCAAAACAACAAGATAAGACATGAGAGAAATGTTAAATATAAAAAAAAGGTAAATGTAACTAGCGATAATGATGTACCCCACGGGCCTAGCACCGAGGTGGGGAATTGTCAAGGCGCGGGGCCGGATTGTGGGTTGCCAGCTGAGCCGTGTGGCTTGGGCACGATGTGGTAACAGAAGATTGTTTGATTGTGAAGGCTGGATAGTGTTGTGTGCGATATGGGTGACGAGAAGGAAAAATGGTTTTCTTGCTGCAGTAGTTGTATGAGATAAGACAACTTCCCCCGAGAGGTTCGGTTACATAATGGCGGTAACGCGTCCACGTATAGCGCTAAATGGTCCTGTCATTTCCCTCCCGCTCACCACGGGCAGGGTTCGGGTTTCTTGCGAGGTTTATGCGGGAGAAGCAGCAGCATGGTCTGTCCGTGGGCATCGTTCCGCATTCCTCGTACTTCAGCAAGCGCTCCTCCCTCGCGCCACAAACATCCCCATGGGCCATTTTCAGGTGCGATCTCCATTTGCTAGGAAATCTTCTCAGGTGCGATCCAATCAACTGTGCAGGTCCGAACACCAAATTCATTTTTAGGTCTTTCTGCAGATAACTCATTTTCATCCGAGATCCGATTCGAAATAACACAAATAGTCTGAATCAAAAGCGATTTCGAATCGCGCCAAGCAAAATTCGAATGGTCCCATCGTACTTGCCCAATTTAAACGACAATTTCTGCTGCGCATTAGCTATTTAATGAACAAACACTTATGCTGAATCAGGTGTACTGTTTTCTCGTGTTTCGGGGTGCACGTCCAAGACGGGAATGCTGATTTGCCCTGCGCAGCGTCCGTCACCCGCGTCAACAGTACACCTGATTCAGCATAATTTTCTTTCATGATATACCTAGTGCGCAGCAGAAATTCTCGTCGAAATTGGGCAAGTATAATGGGACCATTCGAATTTTGCTTGGCGTGATTCGAAATCGCTTTTGTGTTATTTCGAATCGGATCTCGGATGAAAATGAATTATCTACAGAAAGACCTAAAAATGAATTTGGTGTTCGGACCTGCACAGTTGATTAGTTTATTGGATCGCACCTGAGGAGATTTCCTAGCAAATGGAGATCGCACCTGAAAATGGCCCCATCCCCATCCCATCCTCCAACAACCACAAAAGATGCCAAGCCAACCCCGAATCCCGACCCGTTCAATCATCTCAACCCCAATCGTCGTCTCCAGTCATCCCATCTTTTCCTGCTGCGCCCAAGCCTAGCTTGCCGTGTCGCGCTGCTCTGTCGGACGTTTATCGTCGCGCGGCGAGGCCGCCATGGGCAATCAGAAGGCGGTGCGGTTGAAGCACAAGGGCGTGGATTTCAAGGTACGACCATTCGTTAGCATCGCTCGTTAGCATCGCTCGTTAGCATCGTTCGTTAGAATCGTTCATTAGAATTGTCCCTTAGGATCGCTAATCAGGACCATTAGCGTCTCGTCGCTGCCTGCATTTCGTCGCGGAGAGCCTCGACGACCCTCGCGGGTGTTGCGCAACGCGTCCTGCCTGCGCTCTGCGTGTGCGCGCCTGCCTGAGCGGAGAGGATGTCGCGCGCTCGCGCACTGCGCGCTACCGTCGCGCCGCACACTGCTGTCCCACATTGCGTGCAGCCGCACGGCGTGTCTCCGCTGGCCTTCTCTGGCCTACACTGGCCTGCACCCGCCTCCACCGCAAGTGCAGACGGCCATCGGCGGATGGCCGCATCCCACAGCCGTTTGCCACCCCGCCTTGATCCGACGGCCTCCTTGCATTGCCACCCGCGCTGGCCACGTCAGCGCGCGCATTACCTTTTGGTAGTTCCGCGGCTGCACGCGGCGCACAGCCGTGTGCTGGCCCTTGCATCGCTGGTCGCATGAATCCCGAATAATTTCCGCTGCTGCTTCCGCCGCCCTTGCTTCTCGTTCTCCCGCCTTCTTACTTCCCATTTTCCCTTCCCCTCTCTCTCTTCCCCTCCCCCCCCCCTCTTCCGCTCTCCCCCTCTCCCCTCCTCCCCCGCTCCCCTCCCCCTCTCCCACTCTTCCCCTTCTGCTCTACCGCTCTTCCCCAATCCCTCCGCGCGCGTCCCTTTCCGCGCGCGCATGGCAGAAAGTGCGCAGCAAGGTGGGGCGCAAGCTACCGCCGCCGTCCAACGAGACCAAGACAACCGTCAAGGCCAAGAGTGAGTCAGCCCCGTGGTCCTTCCTTGCTCCCGCCTCCCCCGTCCCGCGGGGCCGCTTCTTCTCCTTGGCATTCCTCTCTGCTCTCCCTGCACTGCACGCTTCTCACTCCTCCGCCTACTCTCCCCTCCTCGTCAACCCAACAATCGTATCCTCCCCTTCTCTCCCGTTCCGACACACCTTGCCCCTCACACACACCCCTCGTCTCTCTCCCTCACGTCATAATCACTTACCACACAACCCCCCCTCCCTCCCGCCCCCCTCTTCCGTTACCGGGCCCTTCCCCCACCGGGACGGTTCCCCCCAGCGAGCGTGCTATCTGGGCAGAAAGCTGCTGGGCGATCGGCTTTTCAGGCGCCGCAGAGGTTCTCCCTTCCCTCCTCCCCGCCACCCCTGCCCCCCTTGCCCCATTCCCCCCTTGCCCCCTTCCCCCCACCCCCCTTCTCTCCCCCCCAATCCCCAGCGATCGTGCTACCGGGGCAGAAGCTGCTGGACGATCGGTCGCAGGCGGCGGTGTCACAGAGGGGCCACACGCTGCCGGAGCTGCTCGCCCAGTCCGGCCACTACAGCGACAAGGTTCGGCAAGGTAGGCTCGGCATGACAAGGCTGGGCAGGCAGGCAGGGCATGAATGGGTGGGCAGGGGGCATGGGAGGGCATGGCATGGGTGTTCACTTCCTTGTGCATGCTTCCACGCCGCACCATCAATCAACTCTTGCCACCCCACTCACACCTCTCCTCTCCTCTCCTCTCCTCTCCTCTCCTCTCCTCTCCTTCCTCTCCACTTCTCTCCTCGCTCTAACCGTCCAATCAGAGTCACTCGTTCGCCTGCGCGAGCTGCTGGCAGCCAATCCCGACGAGCTGAGGCGCCACGCTGGCACCGTCCTTGCCAAGCTGGCGCCACGCATTGCTGACGTGGACAAGAAGACGAGAGACTCCCTCCTGCTGCTGATGCGCACCGTGCTCTTCCCGACCATGCAGCCCGAGGTGCGGTGCGGTGCAATGTGGTGCGGTGGAACTCCAGGTGGGTGCAGCACAAGGGAGAGAGCGAGGGTGAGAGCAAGGTGGGTGGCTGCTGGAGGGAGATGGGAGGAGGAGGTAGCAGAAGGGAGGAGGAGGAGGAGGAGGAGGAGGAGGAGGAGGAGGAGGAGGAGGAGGAGGAGGAGGAGGAGGAGGGAGAGGAGGAGGGAGTAGGAGGAGGAGTAGGAGTTTGCTGTTTCTTGCCTGCCTGGTCTGCTCTGCCTTGTGACGGCAGGAAGGCTGTTGCTTTTTCTTGGCCGTGTCACGGGGGGAAAGGGATGGGTGGGGATGGGGAGGGGTGGGGAGCATAGGGATGTGCTGGATGGAGTGAGGTTGGGAAAGGGAGAGAAGGGAGGATGAGGGGAAAGGAGAGAGGGGGAGGAGAGAGGAGAGGAGAGTATTGGAGGTGGAAAGGAGGTGGAGAGGAAGTGAGGATGAATGAACTCCGTTGCTGGCTTGTCCTACCTTCCACTTCGCCTCATCCCCACCACCAAGTGTGCATGATTCATGGTGTGGTGTGTACCTCATGCTTCGTCCACCCACCCAGTCTCTCTCTCTCCCTTCCCCCCTCTCCTCTCCTCCCCTCCCCCGCCCCCCCCTTTTCCCCTCGCCCCTTCGTTTTCTCCCCTTTCCCCCACCCAGGAGCGCATGGCACCGTTCTTCACGCTGCTGATGGGCACGTGGGCTGTGCCATGACCCACGTGGCACCGGACATCCGCCACGCCGCCGCGCTGCCCTTCCTCTCAGCGCTGCTCGCCCACTACCCCTCGCTCTTCTTCCAACCTCCTCCACTGCCCAGGTACTCTAAGCCCTCCTCTCCCCACCCCACCCCTCCTCCCTCCTCCCCACCCCTCCCCTCCTCTCCCCACCCCTCCCCTCCTCTCCCCACCCCTCCCCTCCTCTCCCCACCCCACCCCTCCTCTCCTCCCCACCCCTCCCTCCTCTCCCCACCCCTCCCCTCCTCTCCCCACCCCTCCCCTCCTCTCCCCACCCCTCCCCTCCTCTCCCCACCCCCCCCCTCCTCTCCCCACCCCCCCCCTCTCCCCACCCCTCCCCTCCTCTCCCCACCCCTCCCCTCCTCTCCCCCCCCCCCCTCCTCATCCCCACCCCACCCCACCCCTCCCTCTCCCCACCCCTCCCCTCCTCTCCCCACCACCCCTCCCCTCCTCTCCCCACCCCTCCCCTCCTCTCCCCACCCCACCCCTCCTCTCCCCACCCCTCCCCTCCTCTCCCCACCCCTCCCCTCCTCTCCCCACCCCTCCTCCCCTCCTCTCCCCCCCCTCCCTCCTCTCCCCACCCCTCCCCTCCTCTCCCCACCCCACCCCTCCTCTCCCCACCCCCCTCCTCTCCCCACCCTCCCCTCCTCTCCCCACCCCTCCCCTCCCTCCTCTCTCCCCCACCCCTCCCCTCCTCTCCCCACCCCTCCCCCCTCTCCCCACCCCTCCCTCCCCACCACTCCCCTCCTCTCCGCACCCCTCCCCTCCCCTCCTCTCCCCACCCCTCCCCTCCTCTCCTCTCCATGCGCGGTGGACGTCAAGCCTTTGTAACCACGTGACACCGTTCCTCCTTATGCACAGCACATACTCACCCACCCACACAAATCTTCCCCTCCAACCGCCATCCGTGTCCTCCCCGTGCCGCCCTTCATCTTTCCCCCATCGCCAGGTGGTGGCGCATTTCACGGACATGCTGGCCCTCGCCTCGCCCTCTGCGCGCTCCTTCCCCGCCCTCGCCTCCACCCTCTCCGCCCTCACCTCCTTCCTCTCCACCGCCTTCCCCCACTCCTCTCTCCCCTCCTCCTCCTCCCCCACCACCGCCGTTGCTCCATCCCCCTCCCCTCTCACCTCTCCGCCCTCCCTCAACCCCCCTGGCTCCGCCCTGCCTCTCCCCGCCTCCCCCTTCACGCGCCCACTCCCCACTCTCTCCGCCCCCTCCCCCCCTGCCACCTCTGCGTCCGCCCCCGCCCCCCCCCTCCACCTGCGGGGAGTACAGCTGGCGCCTGGGCGTGCGCCTGCAGCGCGCCCCTCTGCTCTCCGCCCTCACCCCCGGTGGTAACGAGTCTGGTTACCAGGTGCTGTGGTCGCGCGAATTCGACGGGCCAATAACAGCCCTCCACGCGTACCGCTCCGCCCTCCCCCTCCCACCCCTTCCTCCTCCGCCCACCTCCCCTCTCTCACACCCTCCTCGCACAGCTCCGGACAGGCTTTGTCCGCTTCGAAAGAGACAAAAGCAGGCCCAGGAGGGCAGCAAGCAGCAGCAGCAACAGGCGCAGCAGCAGAGGGGGGTATGGAGGGGCTGAGCCGCCCAGCAGGCATAGCTGCAGCGCTCATCCCGCCTGTGCTTGCCGCTGTCACAGAGTGCCTCCCCCTTGTCTCCGCGCCCTCCCCCCACCTGCCCGCCCTTGCCTGCCTCCACTCCGCCCTCTCCACCCTCCACTCCCTCCTCTCCCTCCACCCCCCCTCCCCCGCCACCCTCCTCTCCGCACCACCTTCCTCCTCTTCCTCCTCCTCCCCCTCGCCCCTGCTTTCGGGATTCGCACCTACCAACTCCGCTGGGTGCCAGTCATTTTCCTCCATCTTTCCGCACATGCCTGACGCTGCTGCAGGCGCAGCAGTGACAGCGCAGCAGCACCAATCCCAGCCACATCAGCACCAACATCAAAATCAGCAGCAGCAGGGGGGCTACGGGGACGTGCTGTCACGGGTGCAGCACAAGCTGGGCACGGCCTTCCCTCTGCACGCCCCTGCTGGCCTCGCCGCTGCTCGCGCCAACGGCACCAACGGCAGCAGCGGTGCCGCCGGTGGGGCAGCAGCAGCAGCGGCAGGAGGCGGGCAGAAGAGGGAGGTGGGCGAACAGCTGGCGCTGCTCAACGTGCTCCTCGCTGAATGCCTCTCGCTCTTCCTCCCTGCCTCCTCTCCTGCCGCTGCTGATGGGTCTGGTGTTGGTGGTGGTGGTGGGAGGGGTGTGGGGAAAAGGCGGAGGGGCGTGCAGGGGGGGGGGGGGAAGGGGACGCTGGGGGCTGGAGAAGGGGATGGCGGAGGGGGGAGAGGGACAGGGAGGGGCGCGGTGAGGGGAGACGCGCGGAGGAGGTTGCTGGAAGGGAGCAGATTCGTGATTCGGATGAGCGGGGGGCGAGGGGAGGGTGGGGGAAAGGGAGGGGGGGAGGAGGGAACGAGGGAAGCAAAAGGAAGAATGGTGAACGAGAGGGCGAGCGGGGGAGGGGAGAAGGGGGCGACGGTGAGGAATCAGAGGCGGTTGGGGACGAGGAGGGGGAAGAGGCGGAGGAAGAGGAGCAGGAGGAGGCGAGGGAGGAGGCGTGGGTGGGACGGCTGTACGAGTTCATGCAAGGCGCGATGGAGGGCAAGGTGAGGGGCCCTGCATGGTGTTTCAGGGTGAGAAGTGGGGGGGGGGGATGAGAGGTGGGGGGGGGGGGGGGGGGAGAGGTTGGGGGGGGGAGAGTGGGGGTGAGAGGTGAGGGGGGGAGGTGAGGTGGTGGGGGGTGAGAGGTGGGGCGAGGTGAGAGTGTGGTGATGCTGATTGCATGGGCGGGGCGGATTCAGACAAAGGGAGCTGCAAAGGGTTCTCTGTTCTGTTCGCGGAAACCCTTCTCCCCGCCTTCCCTCTCCCCGCCTTCCCTCTTCCCCCCTTCCCTCTCCCCGCCTTCCCTCTCCCCGCCTTCCCTCTCCCCGCCTTCCCTCTCCCCCCCTTCCCTCTCCCCGCCTCTTTCTTCCCTCAAAGCCCTTTCCTTTCCATGCCTCCACATCTTCCCTTCCCTTGCCTTTCCACCCAGCTCCTTCCCGCTCCAACTGCTGCGCCAATCCTGTCGCGACACATCAGTGAGTCCCTCATCCGCCGCCTCCTCCCTCTCCTGCCAGCCCTCCTCCATTACGCCCCCTCGGCCGCCGGCCGCGCCTCGTTGCTGGGCGGCTTCTCTCGTCTCTTCTCCGCGTCGCCCGCCCGCAGTGCCACCCGTGCTGCCTGCCTGGATGTGATGTTTGGGCTGCTGCAGCAACAGGCGGTGGGGGGGGATGGGGGCGCAGGGGGCGTGGGTGGGGGAAAGGGCGAGGGGGAGCGAGGGGGGAGAAGGCGAAGAGAAAAGAAGGGAGGCGGGGAGGGGCGGGTGGGGCGGAAGGATTGCCTGAGAAGGTGGTTGCTGATTGGCTGACAGCCCTTCCCAGACTGCTCTGGGACATTGGGGCCTCACATCCTGCCACGTCACTGGTAGGTGCCACGTCACTGGTAGGTGCCACGTCACTTGTAGAGACCGATTGGCCACGTCACTGCTGGGTGCCACATCACTGCTGGTGCCACGTCACTGGCTGGCAGGTGCCATGTCACTGACAGTTCCTTGGATAGACTGATATTTGATTTCATCTTCACTACGTCAGTTGCACGTCTCAATCTCCAACCCCCTCTCCCCTCCTCTTCCCTCCCCCTCCCTCTCCTCCCCTCCATCACAGACGGTGCTGCGCCTCTTCTTCCGCATCGCCTCCATCTCACCCCCATCCGATTCCTCCTCCTCCACCGTGCCATCACCATCATCGTCCCTATCAGAGCACATGAGCAGTGTGCAGCCGCTGCTCGTGCCCTTCTTTGCCGCTTCCATCGCTGCTCCCACCACCGCCTCACACCCACCACACCCACCACCACCATCAGCAGCACCACCAGCAGCGGCAGGAGCAGTAGCAGCAGCAGGGGAGGCAGCAGCGGGGCGTCGGCTGGTGGTGGGGCCGTTCCTGCTGCTACCAGCGCCCCTGCAGGCCCTCTCTCTCGACCTGCTGCTCTGCTTCCCCCGCCTCTCCCTCCCCCTCCTGCAGTCCCTCGCCGTCTGCTGCATCGCCTCCCTCTCCTTGCACTCACACTCGTTAGAGTCGCAAACACAGCAACAGCAGCACGAGAGGCAAGGCGACCGGCAGAACGCATCTGAACCAGCAGCGGGGCCACGTGGCATGCGGTGGTTGGCGGGGAGGGCAGTGGAGGTGGTGGGGGCGGCGCACAGGAGGGGCGCAGTGGGCCTGGCGGAGTACCTTGGCTTCCTGGTCTCGCTGCTGCTCTCCCGCACGCGCGCCCACTCCCACCCCGACATCACCGCCGCGTTCCACGGGCGAGTGAGGCGGCACGAGGAGGCGGAGAGGCAGCACCACCAGCGCCACTCCTCCCACACGGGCCATGCAAAGTCCAAGGGGGAAGTGAATGCTTCTCCACCGTGGGATCTTCCTCGGAGCAAATCAGAGGGGTCGAGACGGTTCCTGGAAGATTCTTCGGGGTTGTGTCGCGAGATATGGGAGCGCGAGCCAGCTGTTGGAGCAGTGTGTGCGGCGCTGGTGCATGTGCCCGTGGGGGGTGGAGTGGGGGGTGGGGTGGGGGGCGGAGAAGGGGCTGGAGGCGGCGTGGGGGGCCAGGCAGGGGCGTTGATGGACGGAGCAGCAGTGCTGGACCTCGTCTCACAACCGCTAGCTGCTGCCCTGGTGAGTGCCGCTGCCGTGCGCCGTGCTGGGTGTGGGGCTGCTGCTTCCATTCCATGTGCACGCATCTGCTGTGGCCGCCACTGCACGCCCCCGTCCCATGCGCCCCCGTCCCATGCGCCCCCGTCCCATGCGCCCCCTTCCCATGCGCCCCCTTCCCATGCGCCCCCTTCCCATGCGCCCCCTTCCCATGCGCCCCCTTCCCATGCGCCCCCTTCCCATGCGCCCCCTTCCCATGCGCCCCCTTCCCATGCGCCCCCTTCCCATGCGCCCCCTTCCCATGCGCCCCCTTCCCATGCGCCCCCTTCCCATGCGCCCCCTTCCCATGCGCCCCCTTCCCATGCGCCCCCTTCCCATGCGCCCCCTTCCCATGCGCCCCCTTCCCATGCGCCCCCTTCCCATGCGCCCCCTTCCCATGCGCCCCCTTCCCATGCGCCCCCTTCCCATGCGCCCCCTTCCCATGCGCCCCCTTCCCATGCGCCCCCTTCCCATGCGCCCCCTTCCCATGCGCCCCCTTCCCATGCGCCCCCTTCCCATGCGCCCCCTTCCCATGCGCCCCCTTCCCATGCGCCCTCTTCCCATGCGCCCCCTTCCCATGCGCCCCCTTCCCATGCGCCCTCTTCCCATGCGCCCCCTTCCCATGCGCCCTCTTCCCATGCGCCCCCTTCCCATGCGCCCTCTTCCCATGCGCCCCCTTCCCATGCGCCCCCTTCCCATGCGCCCCCTTCCCATGCGCCCCCTTCCCATGCGCCCCCTTCCCATGAGCCCCCTTCCCATGAGCCCCCTTCCCATGCGCCCCCTTCCCATGCGCCCCCTTCCCATGCGCCCCCTTCCCATGCGCCCCCTTCCCATGCGCCCCCTTCCCATGCCTTGCCTTCCCATGCGCCCCCTTCCCATGCCTTGCCTTCCCATGCGCCCCCTTCCCATGCCTTGCCTTCCCATGCCTTGCCTTCCCATGCCTTGCCTTCCCATGCCTTGCCTTCCCATGCCTTGCCTTCCCATGCCTTGCCTTCCCATGCCTTGCCTTCCCATGCCTTGCCTTCCCATGCCTTGCCTTCCCATGCCTTGCCTTCCCATGCCTTGCCTTCCCATGCCTTGCCTTCCCATGCCTTGCCTTCCCTTGCCCCTCCACCGCCCCTCCACCGCCGCTCCACCGCCCCTCCACCGCCCCTGCAGCGAGCACGTCCTCCTGTGCCCATGTGCTCCGCCACTGTGGCCTGCCCATTGCACTGCACCAGTCATTCCAACGCGGGGCCCTGTCTCTCTCACTCGCCCCTTCTCTCACTCGCCCCTTCTCTCACTCGCCCCTTCTCTCACTCGCCCCTTCTCTCACTCGCCCCTTCTCTCACTCGCCCCTTCTCTCACTCGCCCCTTCTCTCACTCGCCCCTTCTCTTACGCCCCTTCTCTCACGCCCCTTCTCTCACGCCCCTTCTCTCACGCCCCTGCGCCTCGCTTCCCACCCAACGCCATTCCAAAGTGACCCGTCCACCAGCTTTGAAGAGCCTCCACCGTTTCATTGTCCCACATCCTATCACCTACCCTCCACTCACATTGATTCCATCCCCATCCCCATCCTTCCCTCCCCTCCTTCCGGCCCCTCCAACCCTTCTCCCTCGTCCCCCTCTTTCCCCTCCCTCCCACGCCTTGTTCCCCACACAGAGCGACCCCTCCACTACCCCGCCATGCCTCTACGGCAACTTCCGTGCCGTGGCCGCCTGCTCCCGACGATAGTCTCTTTTTCCCTCTTCTTCCCTCCCTCCCCCCTCCCCCCTGACCCCCCGCTTGCCCCCCACAGAGCGACCCCAACACGTCGCCGCCATGCCTGTACGGAATCTTCCGAGCCGTGGCTGCCTGCTCCCGCCGCGCCCAGCTGCATCCCTTCCCCACCCCGATGGGAACAATGCATGGTGGGACGGAGGGAGGAGGTGGGGGAGAGAGAGGAGGAGGGAGTATCGAAGGAGACAAAAGGAAGGCTGCAGCGACAGGAGATGCTGCGGACCTGTCAGTCTCAGCCACAGCAGCAGCACACAGCATTGGGGAGTGTGAAGAAAGGGAACAGCCTTCGGCATCAGCATCAGCATCAGCATTGGCATGTGCGCCGTCGCAAGCACGCGGGTCAACACAAGGCCAGGCGACCACGTGTGTGCCGCCGTGCCTCTCAGCGCTGCTGCCAGCCAGCCTTGCTCGCTTGTGCTGCCGCCTGCTTCAGGTGAGCTCGCTGATGATACTTCATGTGGCTGGTCTCGTGCCTCGTGCAATTCTGCTCTCAGTGGTTATATGGTGAAGGTCTGTGCCCCATGTGAATTGGTTGTGCGCATCCGTCTGATTCACTTCGCATGCATGCATGCGCTGTCGCAACGCTTAGACCAATTATCCCTCTATCCGCGTTACCCCGCCCCACCCCCTTACACGAGCACCTTTCCACCCTCTGCCTCCCACCTGCATCCTCTGTGCCTGCCCCCTCCACCTCCTCCCCCTCACCCGCGCCCACGAGGGCATCTATGCTGCGAGCGTGCCCCTGGCTGGTGCCCACCCTGCGCCTGCTCGCCCTGCACCCCTTCCTGCTCTTTGGGTGCCCGCTTTCCCCTAACCTCGTCTCGACAATCCCTTGACCTCTATTTCCGTTACCCCGCCCCATCCCCTTACAGGAGCACCTTTCCACACTCTCCACCTCAGCCCCTTCACCAGCGCCCACAAGGGCATCTCTGCTGCGCGCGTGCCCCTGGCTGGTGCCCGCCCTGCGCTTGCTCGCCCTGCACCCCTTCCTGCTCGCGCCCTTCCTCCACCTCCTCCTCCTGCCCACCGAGAAGCAAGAGCAGGGCGCAGGGGCAGGGGCCGGAAAGGCAGGGAGCGCAGGGGCAGGAAACACAGGAGCAGAGGGCGCAGGAGCAGAGGGCACAGGGGCAGAGGGCGGAGGGGCAGAGGGCAGAGGAGCAGAGGGCACGGGAGCAGGGGTGCAGGCGAGAGCGGGTGTGGTATGTGTGGCGGTGCTGTGGGGCCCGTTGGAGCGACCGTTGTTGCTGCTTGGGGCAACAGATAGGCAGCTACTCACTGCTGGCCTGGCAGGGTTGATGGTGAGTGCCAGAGGGAAGGGGAAAGAGGGAAAGGGAGATGCATGCTGTGGGGCCCTCTGGAGCAACTGCTGCTGTTGCTGTGAGAGACAGACAGGCAGTGTCTCACAGCAGACCTGGCAGGGTTGATGGTGAGTGCCTGGGGGAAGGGCGAGAGAGAACGGTGGAGGGGGGACGTGGGCATGGGTGGTGCGAGAGAGAGAGGGGGGATATCTGGGAGAGAAAGAGACAGGGGAAGGGGTGTGAAGAGGGGCTGTACGAATGGCATGGTGGAGCATGCATGGCATGGTGGAGCATGCATGGTATGGTGGAGCATGCATGGTATGGTGGAGCATGCATGGTATGGTGGAGCATGCATGGTATGGTGGAGCATGCATGGCATGGTGGAACATGCATGGTATGGTGGAGCATGCATGGTATGGTGGAGCATGCATGGCATGGTGGAGCATGCATGGTATGGTGGAGCATGTATGGTATGGTGGAGCATGCATGGTATGGTGGAGCATGTATGGTATGGTGGAGCGTGCATGGTATGGTGGAGCATGTATGGTATGGTGGAGCATGCATGGTATGGTGGAGCATGCATGGTATGGTGGAGCATGTATGGTATGGTGGAGCGTGCATGGTATGGCTGGATGGCTCATCCCTCTCAACCCCTCTGCACACGCATGTCTCCTGCTCCTGCTACTGTCTCCCGTCTCTAAACCCGTCTGTCTGTCATTCCCTTTCCCACTGCTCTTCTTTCCCATGTGCTCCTCCAATGCTTCCAACACGACTCACCTATCCCTCCCCACCCACAGCGCACCCCGTCCGCTCCCCGCCACCTCCCCATCACCTCCTTCAGCACCCCACTCCTAGTAGCAGCTAACGCCTCCCTCCCTTTTCCCCTTCCCCCCATGTCTCCCCATGCCATGCACGCCACAGCATGAGGTGCAGGCAGCAGCAGGGGGCGGCTCCTCTGTGGGGTGGTGTGAGGCGCTGCTCTCCCAGGCACGCTCGCGCCTTGCCCTGCTCTACGGCTGCTGCTGATGCTGCTGATGCTGCTGATGCTGCTGATGCTGCTGATGCTGCTGATGCTGCTGATGCTGCTGATGCTGCTGATGCTGCTGCTGCTGCTGCTGACACACCACCATGGTGCTGAGTGGTGTCCTAGAGGTTCGTTCATGGTCAGTCGTGCTGTGTTGTGTTGTGACCGTTTGTAGTGTGATCATTGCTCCACACACATATTTTAGGTTTTTAAGCACAGTGGGTGTACTGGTAGTGGTACACCGCATGAATAGCATTCCATACGAGCCAATCCTCTCCTCTTCCTGGAAGTGAAGGTACCAGAGCAGATGTGCAGACCCAAGGCAGCACCAGTTGGGTGACACACCACACACACATCCAACGCCAAGGGTTGTTGATCTCACACCATTGAGTGCAGATGGGGCGCTGCATATTGCATGCTGCATATTGCATGCTGCATATTGCATATTGCATGCTGCACGAGTTGGTACGGTACGGTACGGTACGTGCAAAGCACTTAGCACAACGTTTTTTTTCACAAGAACAGTCATGCTGCTGGGCCGCCAGAGTGTACGTCAGGTGTTGCCTGCCTTTGTGGTACCGATGTGTTGTGCAAGCAAGGCACTTGTTGGAGCAGCACACAGGTATAAACAGCAGAGTTTTTAATAATTACGGTACAATGCTACAATTTATTACCAACCAGACACCAGGGGACCAGGGACAGGCAGCAGGCCCTAGGATATCAGGAATTTTTCCCTGAAATTCCTGATTTTCAGGGTAAATTTTTGTACCTACCCTGATTTTCCAGTGTTCAGCTTTTTGTGGGGCTGATTTTTCAGCCTTTTCCTGCCAGATGACTCTGAACTTTCAGGTTTTTTTCTTTAAGGACACTGATTCCACTACGTTGTAACAAAACTGACACTGAATGCGATTCCTATACGTTCCGAGTCTAGTTGCTCGGAAGTACCAGGGAATCTCAGATCCCCCCGCTGTCAGCACCGCCCGGCGGTGACTAGTACCAGACAAAATTGCCCCGTGTTATTCACTTCGAGGGCTGCTTTGTTGGCGCGCCTGTTCCAATGGGATGGGAATGTTGCAACACAGCGATGCTGGCTGGTGCGATGCAATGCGAGAGTTCTGTCCCATTGCCTGCACCTGTGGCGCGTTTTGTCTTTGTGGTGCTGCCATGGCAAGCATTGATGCTCTCATGATGGGTTGCATCCACGCCGCCCAGTCGTGCTACCTGCCATCCAGGCTCAACCCTTTCCATCCGCAAGGGGGTTTCCTCGCTTTCCTGCCTTGTGTACGAAGAGGCAGTCAGCTGTGTCGAGGGTTATGCGCTGGCAATGCTTGTTTAAAGACCTTGAATAATAACCGACAGCCTTTGCAAATAGGGAACACTGATGCATCAGACTTTTTTTTAAGTAACACTGAATTTTCAGGCTTTCGTTTTTAGGGGACACTGACAATCAGGGATTCTACACAGAGGGACCCTGATGCACTTACGTGCCTAAAAGTGAATCTGAGGGCCTGACAGGCAGCACAGAGAGGCAGAGACAGGAGCAAGGCAACAGCACTGCCAGCTAGCCACGGCTGCACCTCTGCTCGTCCCTCCCCTCCTGCACACCCCCCTGCCACGTCCCCATCACACCCATGCCTCCCTCCTGCACTACCGGTACTCCCTGGCTCCCTGCTTCACACGTTCGAACCCATACCTCACCCTTGCATCTTCACCTATACTCTTGCCAGCCTCTTGCTCGCCACCCAATCCCTCCACACATCATCCCTCCACCGCCCTCCACCGTGCAGCACCGCTTTACAGGTAGGGGGGCTCGGGGTTCCAGTTCCAGGGCATGCCATTGGCGCGGGGGGGAGGGGTGGGGCCACCGCCCACCCAGTACGGCTTGCCGTAGATGTTGGGAATCGCGCACTTGCCGTTGAACCCGTTGCTCAGGTGGTATGGCTTCTGCGCGCACTGCATCAGAATCGTCACCCAGTCCGCGTACCCCACGCTCTCCAGCCACACGTTGCCGAACGCGCGGCGCCCGTACGCCGACGGGTTGACGCCCGGGCACGTGGCCCAGAGCTTCTTGTAGCCGAGTTCGGTGGTGTTGATTGCCTGGCAGTTGCAGCCGTACTTGAACCACATGCCGTAGTTGGAGCTGGGGTTGCATGTGTACTTGGTCGTCAACTGCGACCACCCCAGCGCGTCGGACGGTGACGTGAAGGAGAGCAGGAGAGCCGCGGTGAGGGAAAGCGCCAAGAGCGGGAGCAGCGGGAGCGCGCGGCGCGCCGCGGCGGCGCGGGTGGTTGCCATGGTAGCGGCGGTCGTGGCGGAGGTAGTGGGTGACGAGTGAAGCCGGAGAGAGGCTGGTAGGCGGCGAGATGGTAGTGAGGAAGGGTGCGAAGGCGTGGACTTGACTGCGAGAGTCAGAAGCGGGAAGAGGCGGGTGAGGAGAGAAGGCGGAGCTGGAGGCCGATGATGGAATGGGGATGGCAGGACCGGGTTTTATAGCTCAAACAACACGGGCTATCATGGGTATGGGTATGGCTGAGCGAGTGCTGCTGGGCGTGACACCGAGACGAACCGCGACCCCGCGGCGCCCCCGAAACACCTTCTCTGCCCTCCCCGGCCTTGCACTGCCTTCCCGTTTCCTGCCCTACCCGGCCTTGCCCTGCCCGTCTTCTCTTGCCCGCCCCGCCATGCGTCCCGCTGCTCCAAGCGACGCTGGTGGTTGTTGCGAGTCCAGCGTTGATCGGACGACACGAGTGGTCGTGCTGACGGGCAGGCAAAGAGCCACCGGTGGGTCGCATCGACGCGCGCCGCATGCTAGCGGAGTCAACGGCACCTACCTTGTACTCTCGACGGGAACATCAACTACATCAACTACCTACCTAGTACTATCGGTGCGGAGGAGGCATCGGCAGGTGATGCAGCAGCTGCTGCTGCAAGGCTGCCTGTCGTGCTTGGTCGGGCTAGTCGAATAGGCGCGTGTGCTTCCAAGGGGTGTATGTCTTGTTCCCAGGGTGTCAAGTCCAACTGTCGATTTGGAGTCGCGAGTGAGTCCGTCGAGGTGGTTGTTTGAAGGGAATTACTAGGAGACGGAACGACACATTCGTTTTCTGGCTGTGTGGCTGTCATGCTTGCGATGCGATGCGACAATGGAATGAAATGGAATGGAACGCGAAATCTGGCGGTGGGATGAATAAAACGACTTGCGAATTGCGTCACGGGACGATGAAAGGTGCGATGGAGGATGAACGGGCGTATCGACGACTGACGCTTCCGTAGCCCGATGTACGATGCGGTGAGCCGTCCGATCCTATGCTAGAGAGACAACATAGGCGATCATTATTCAGGAGGGCACTGGGGATGGATCGAAGACAGATCTGGTTCTTGCTTGTCGGCTTTGTGTCGTTTCGTCTTCGTGCTTCCGTGAACGGTTGAGTAGCAACCAAATGTCTCGTTACAGAGTTAATGTTTAATTTGAAGACGAAGCGGCGGGATACCAGTCATGTAAAAAAACAAAATTTGGATAGGTGTTAAAAAAATTATACTATTGTTTGCTAGGCGATCGAGCGAGAGGGCAGCTGCCCCATCACTTCGACGAAATCTCAAGCACACCCCCTTCTTCCACATGGCGCTGTTCGCCAGCACATGCAAAATTGAAAAAAGGAATGGGCTGCGTTCTGCGGGCGCATTAGCCCGCATCAATGTACATTGCAATTTTGGGATTTTCCAGGAGCCTTTCTTGATAACCAACTGACGGGTTATCAAGGCTCGCGATAAGCGCTTGGCTGCCGAGGCAAACCAAGCCCGAATGCCTGCAGAACGGTCTTTTTGGCAACCACAAATTTCCATTTGGCCGCTTTCCGAGAAATTTATCGTCCTAGTAATCTGACGCATCCTTGATGCGCGCATGATGCAACGCAGGGAACGCGCATGATGCGCGCATCAGCTCGAATTGGGGCAATTGAACAGCGCCATAAAAAAAAAACGGCCGCGACATTGATTGCCCTCTGCTGCTCGACGCCAGAGAAAAAAACCAAACCAAAAAAAGGGTTTCTGAATCGACGCAGAGGGGTTTCGATCTCAAGGGGTGTTCGATTTTCCCCTTCAGATTTTTAGGCAGCTACCCGGCTCGTGTGTGGGCAGCGTCGGGCAGGGTGTACAGGCATCAGGCGAAGGCGTCAGGCACGTGCTGTCTGACTTCCCCGATCCCTCTGCAATGCCGAATTTGAGGAAATTTGAAATCGACATCTGAAATGTCGGAAATTTCAAATCTCCGATTTCCGATTTTCCGAACCTCAATTTCCATTTTCCGAACCTCAAATTTTCTATTTTAAAATCCCGATTTCCGAACCTCAATTTGTCAATGTGCGGATCAGGCCGAGCCTAGGGCGCATCAGAGCTGATGCGCCCGCAGAACGCAGCCATGACGGCGTCGGACTGACCACGGCATCGGGAAGCGGGGCCGGAACCCTCCGAAGAGGTTTGGGCGAAATGCCACCCGCGAAATTTCCCGCCCCGAAATGGGAAACGTGGCAAACGCATTTGGAGCCTGCATCCCACCTTCCCCTGACAGCCAATGACATCGCCATCCCACGGCAGTCCACCGTGAAATGGTGGATTGCCATGGGATGGCATTAGACGGGAGGTTTGCCCGCGAGGAAATTACTTCCCCATTTCCGAATGCCGTCCGAATGCCGTCCGAATGCCGTCAGGCCGTCCGAAATTTGAGAAAAGTGAGAGCGTTCGCCAGGCACCAAAGATTCCATTTGGTCGGACGGCATCTTAGCTTCGGCAGGAATTTTACGGGCTGACCAGCCTGACGGAGGTTAACGAACCCTAACTGACGTGATCAGGAAGGCAAGACTGACCTTCCTAATCCCGTCGTATCTCGTAGTTTTTGCAATCAAGGGTGCTGGCGAACACCGCCATTTACAAGTGATGGGGGCAGCTGCTCTGCCGCTCCAACACCTGGCAAGCAAGCCACTGTGCTTCGTCGCGTTCGCATCACTGGTAACCGTCGGGTTACCAATAACGCCTCCTGCACGTCGATCTCGTCAAGCAGTCAGCCTGGTGCACCATCCACACGAAGCTCGCTCGAGTAGAGTAACCAGAAACCCTCATTCACGCTCGCGACTGCGTGAAAGATCCCATCCAGCAGTCGCTCAGGCAGGCGTCGAAACAAACGGAATGGCCGGCGAAGTTGACGGGGCAGAGCTGAGGGACGAACAAATTGACGAGAACCGTTTGGTGGGTCAGGACGTTAAGGGAGATTCTACCATGCGCGAACCGGCGATTGCTGTCGAATCGGCTGAGAATGCAGCTTCAGCTGATGGTGCGGATAGGTCAGGTCAGCTAGCCTCTGCGAAGGAACCCATGCATCCCAACCCCGCAGGGGACAGAGTTCTCGTAGATGCCGCGCGGGGGAGCAGCGCGCGGAAGAAGCGGAAAGGGGAAACGGGAGGGAAGGGCGCGACGGAAACGGGCTCGCTTGGCGTGATCAGGGGGAGCGGAGAAGTAAACGGGGAGGGCGAGGGGATGGGTGAGAGTGCGAGTGGGAGAGGAGGCGGGAAGGGGGGCGACGGGGAGAGCTGCAGCTTCTGGTTGGCGAAGAAGGGGCGGCGCTGCTCCAGTCGCAGGAAGCCCGGCCACATGTACGCCCCGCCCCGCCCCGTCCCCATTCCTCCTGGGTTTTGCCTCTAAAAGGTTTCGCCTTGTATGGGTTTTTCGTCCTAGGCTTTTTGTTTTGCAACTCTCGGGTATGGCTCACCTTTGCGGTGGGTCCTATCCCCTCTAAGCCATTCCCCCGCGCCCATCCCCTGCTGGGCACACACCCATCTCCCCTCACTTTTCATCGCTTCCCGTCTCCCCTCCCTGAGGTGCGCCTGCCGGGCCCCCGTGTTACAGGTTCTGTGGTAACCACATCCCGGAGACTGCATTTGAGTCGTCTCAAAACTAGCCTTCTTTCATGCGATGCACCTGCCCCCTCGCCCCCTGGTGTTACAGGTTCTGTGGTAACCACATCCCAGAGACTGCAGCGCTACGAGTGCCCTGCCCTGTCGACCCCTCCCAGTACGCGCCTCTCCTCTCCCCTCACTCCAGCCTTCCCTCATTCTCCTCTCCCTCCCTCACTCTCCTCCTCCCTTCACTCTTCCCATCTCCACTCTCTCCCCCTCCCCGTCCCGTCTCATCGCTGCCGCATTGCATTGCTCCTGCATCTGACAAGACAATCGCTGCCTTTCTCACTCGCGCCTCCCCGCATTGACCGCAATTGCACTGCCCAATGCCGTGCCGCCCACCTCTCTACTCTAGCTACAACCACGCCCAATACCGGCTCTCTCTCGCTTCACACAACTTGTTGCATGCTTGCTACCTCGCTCTGCTCACATCCTCTCTCTCATCTTCCCTCCCTCCTCCGCCCTGCCATCCCTGTCCCTCCTTCCCACCACCACCAACCCCTGTCACAGTACCATACTGGCATCCGAGGTCCAATCACACGTCGCCAAGTGTCCAGCAGCAGTGCAGAGGGGGTTGACAGAAGGAGCAGCGTACTTCAAGGGCGGCCTCAATGCAAGAGGGCCGCCATTAGGCGCCACCAGCAGCAGCACCAGGGCCCAGGCAGAGGGTTACAATGCCGCCTCCACTGCCGCCCATGCTCGTGCACCCGCTGCCGCTGCTGCCACCACTGCCGCTGCTGCTGCTGCTGTTGCGCCTGTGCCTGGCGGGCAGGGCATGGCTGCCTCCTTCCCTTCAGTCCCGCGAGTGGCGGCATCGTCAGCAGCAGCAGCGAGGAGGCAGATGGTGGCGTCGATGGGGGAAGGCGAGTGGCAGCGCCTGCTCCACCTGGTGCATGGGGCATATGTGGCGGCCTTTGGTGCACACGGTGGTGTGCCTCTCCCTCCCCTCACCCCCTTGGGAGATCATGAGCCTGCACTCATGCTTGCGAGTGGGCACGCAGCAGCACCAGCAGCAGCACCAGCAGCAGCAGCAGCACCCGCAGTAGCAGCGGGAGCAGCAGGAGCAGAGCCGCTGTTCTCTCTGCAGCAGTCGGTGCTGTGGCCGCCTGCATGCGACACATGGGAGCAGGCTGCAGGGGACATGGGCGGGTGAGGCATGGGCGGATGGGGCATGGGCGGGTGGGGCATGGGCGGGTGGGGCATGGCCGGATGGGATGCAGACGGGTGAAACATCTCCCCTTTGGTCGTCCCATCTCTGATGAAATGTCTCACGTAGTTCGCATTTCCCCCTGCTGTCCCCTCCCCTGCTCCCCTCCCTTCTGCTCTCCTCTGCGCCCCTCCCTCCCCCTCCCCCCCCACTCGCCCCACCTCGCCAGGAGTGTGCCATTCGAGCCACGGCACGTGAAGCAGCAGGCGTCCATCCTGGGCAACCTCGCCCGCATGGGGCTGCTGCGTCCCCTGCCGCACCCGCGCACAGCGGCGCAGACGAATGCGCATGGCGGGGCGCAGGCAGGCAGAGCAGCAGGGCAGGCGAGAGAGGCAGAGCAGGTGGGGGCGGGGCAGCAGCGTGGGGGCGAGGTGGGGGCGGGGGTGGAGCCAGTGGCTGTGAGCGAAGGGCAGGAGGGTGAGGAGGGCGGGCGGCAAGGAGAGCAGGAGCCGTGCGACGTCCCAGCGGGTGTGGCCGAGGGCGAGAGGCGGGGCGAGGGCGAGGGCGAGGGCGAGGGCGAGGGCGAGTGCGAGGACAGGGTGTATGTGGAGCTGGGTGCGAGCAGAGGATACCTGACGCACATGCTGTGCTCGTGCTTCTGCTCCCGCCTTGTTGTGCTGGTTGCACGCCGCGCTTACAAGTTCAAGGTGCGAGGGGAGAGGGGGGAAGGGGTGCGGGACGAGGGGGGTTGGGGTTGGGGCCGAGGGGGGAGGGGGAAGGGGACGAGGGGGAATGAGGAGGGGAACGAGGGGGAATGGGGAGGGGTTGTGGAAGGGCAGGGGATGGGTGAAGGGGAGGGGAGGCGGGGCGGGGGGTAGGAGGAGGGAAGATGGGGGAAACGTGGGTGAAGGAGGGTTGTGGGTAGATGTTAGGTCACGACGTCAGTGGGTGCATGTGTGCTGTGGTTGGCTACCATGCTGCCATGCATGGTGCGGGGGAAAGAGGGAACGGAGGAGCAACTCAAAGCTGCTATCTCCGCGAAAACAAGCATGCATGCATGCATGTGTGGGTGCATGTGTGCTGCTATTCTCAATTTATTTGTTGACCTAGAAAAAACTACTCACTCCGTTCCATATCCCTTCCCACCTTTCCCGCGCCCCACCCGGGCCCACCTTTTTTGTCAGTATTCTTCATCTCTCCTCGCCCTCTTTCTTCCCCTCCCTCTTTTGCATTCCCTTCTCTCGCTTGCCTTTCCCTTCTTCCGTCTCTTCTCCAAACTCTCCTGTCTCTGTTGTCACTTTTGTTAGTATCTGCCGCTCTCCTATCTCTCCCTTATTCCCCCCTCCCACTCGTATTCCCACCTTACCTCCCACTTCCCCCGCAACCCCCCCTCCACCTCCGCCCCTCCAACCCTTCCCCTCACTCCCATTTCATCTCCCTTCCTTCCCCTTTCTCCCCGATTCTCATTCTTTTTGCATTCCCTCGCTTGGCCGCATCCCATTCTCCCACTGCAGGCCGATCGTGCTCTGAGGAAACTTCCTGGAATTAACCTGATGCGCGTCCGAGTTGACAGTAAGAGACACAGATCGTGCCTTGCAGCATGGGCATGGGCATGGGCATGGGCATGGGCATGGTCATGGGCATGGGCATGGGCATGGGCATGGGCATGGGCATGGGCATGGGCATGGGCATGGGCATGGGCATGGGCAGGAGGACTGTGATTGGCACTGCAGCATGCTGGTCATCACCGAGCAAGCACCTCTCCAACGCTCACTTCCTATCCACTCACTCGCCTTTCCCCATCCACCCCTCTCCCATCCATCCCTCTCCCATGCACCCCCTCCCCATGCAGTCGCGGATCTGCAGCTGGCAGCGCTGCCGGGCGTAGAGGGCCGCCCCCTGGTGGCCATCAGCAAGCACCTCTGCGGCCCCGCCACAGGTGAGGCGTGAGGTGTGGGGTGTGGACGAGATAGCTGCTCCCCGCCACAGGTGCGCTGCTCCCCATTACTCCCCATTACTGGCTCTGCTTCCCAGGGCATGTGGGGTGCTTCTGAGGGCTCTCGTGTGTGGGGAGGTTCTTCGTGGGTGTGTGGATTGGAGGAAGGGTGGAGGAGGGGTGTGGCGGGGAAAGGAAAGCCCCAGTGTTGCATCCAACCGCGTCTCCCCCTCCTCCCCTCGTTGCTCTTTCGGACGTGGCCATGCAGACTTGGCTCTGAGATGCTGCCTCAACGCCTCCCAGACAAGCCAACCCAGTCAACAGGGTCAACCCAGTCAACAGGGTCAACCCAGTCAACAGGGTCAACCCAGTCAACAGGGTCAACCCAGTCAACAGGGTCAACCCAGTCAACAGGGTCAACCCAGTCAACAGGGTCAACCCAGTCAACAGGGTCAACCCACTGAAGAGAGTCAACAGGGTCAACCCAGTGAAGAGAGGCAACAGGGAACGCGCCTGGCAGGGCTGGCCATTGCCACTTGCTGTCATCACCTGTGCGACTGGGAGTCTTACGTCAGTGAGTGACTGTATTGAGAGTGACTGTATGAAGTCATCACATGTCCATGCATGCATGGCAGCATGTGTGCATGGCAGCATGTGTGCATGTGTGCATGGCAGCATGTGTGCATGTTAGCATGTGTGCATGGCAGCATGTGTGCATGTTAGCATGTGTGCATGGCAGCATGTGTGCATGGCAACATGTGTGCATGTTAGCATGTGTGCATGGCAGCATGTGTGCATGTTAGCATGTGTGCATGGCGGCCTTTTGAACGGTACGGGACTTATGGGACATGCAGCATGAGGTGTGTAACAATCGTATCATCCCTGGCACTCTTATCATCCCTGGCACTCTTATCATCCCTGGCACTCTTATCATCCCTTGCACTCTTATCATCCCTTGCACTCTCATCATCCCTTGCACTCGTATCATCCCTTGCACTCCTTTATTCTCTTCACATGCACTTCCCAGTCTGTCAACGGAAAATCACATTGTTCATTCATCTCCTCGCGCGCCTTGCTTTCCACTCTCTAGACATGAGCAAATGCCAAAACGAGTAATACTCGACTCGTTTTCAGCCGACTCGTTTTGAAAACGAGTCGAGTCGAGTATTACTCGTACGAGTAATTTTGCCCCTAGGGCCGACTCATTACTCGTTGAAAAAAACGAGTAATTCATTACTCGGTCCGAGTAATGAATTACTCGTTTTGGATCAAGTAATACTCGACTCGTTTTTGTCAGTATTAGTTTTTCTTGTTTTTTGTAGGTAATTGTACCCAGGCCGAGAGCTTACAGGGTGTGTGCTAAGGTATGCGCGCACATTGGCATGCGCGGGTTAGAGAGTAGTCTAGAGTAGAAGACATTTTAACGGATGTTTTTGCCTTGCAGATCGAGTAGGAACTAGATCGATTGAGGGAGAAACTGAACCGTGAGCACAACCCGTGTACACAAATCGAGGGGAAAAGAGATCTGCAAACACGCGAATTGTGATGGCAGTTGGAGCGGGAAGTGAATCTGCAATCAAAATTTGTGATGGCAGATGGAGCGGGGAAAGGGTCTCCAATCAAAATCTGTGTTGGCAGATTGAGTGGAAAACAGATCTGCGAACACTATTTTCACAACCCCCCACCCCCGCCCAACCCAACCCCCCCCAACTCCCCCAGGCCCCCTTTTCCAGGTTCAAAAACGAGTAATATGCGAGTAACGAGTACTTGTTTGTTGGCGAGTACTCGTTTACTTCCGAGTACTCGTTTTACCCTTAATTACTCGTTACTCGATTTCGAAAACGAGTAACTAGCGAGTACTCATTTAAAAACGAGTAATACTCGACTCGACCAAACCGAGTAATTTCTTGGAAACTGCAGACTCGTTACTCGCCCAAAACGAGTTCCGAAAACGAGTCGAGTAAAATACTTGACTCGTTGCTCATGTCTACCACTCTCTCACTGGCTTCTTAAAAAGCTCCTATCCCATCCCATCCCTCCTTCCCTCCTTCCTTCCTTCTCTCTTCCGTCCTTCTCTTGTTCCTTTCCCCTCTCCTACCCTCTTTCCATTGTTCCTTCCTTCCCGTCCTTCCTTTCTCTCCATCCCCCCTCCCCCCAGACCCGCCCTTCTTCACGCGCCTGGGCTTTGCCACCTCGGGCGTTGCAGCAGTGGCGTGGATGAGCAGCTGGGTGCCGCTTCTATCCCACCCTCTCCCCTCCCCCTCCCCCCTCCCTCCCTCCCTCCCTCCCTCCCTCCCTCCCTCCCTCCCTCCCTCCTCACCTCCTACCCTCCTTTCCTCTACCCTCCTTCCCTCCTCTCCCCCTCCTGTCCCCTCCTTGGCAGACCCGGCCTTCTTCACGCGTCTGGGCTTCACCCCCGTGGACTTTGCAGCAGTGGCATGGATGAGCAGCTGGGTGCTGCTTGCATCCCACCCTCTCCCCTCTTTTCCTCTCCCCCTCCTCTCCCTTGCCTTCCCCCTCACCCCAGACCCCGCCTTCTTCACGCGCCTGGGCTTCACCCCCTCAGACTTTGCAGCGGTGGCATGGATGAGCAGCTGGGCGCTGCTGAGGGACGGTAAGGGCGCAGGGCAGGGCGGGGCACAGGGCGGGGATGGGGAGAGCATGGGAGGCGGTGAGGGCAGGGATGGGGAGAGCATGGGAGGCGGTGAGGAGGGCCAAGAGGCAGGTGAGGAGGCTGGTGGTGCAGCAGCAGCGACAGCAACGGTTCAGATGAACAGAGCGTCCGCATCAGTGGTAGTGGCTTCAGCAGCTGCAGCAGCAGCCAAGCAGAATGGAGTAGTAGTGGGGAAAGAAGGCGCGGAGGAAGATCAGCCACAGGAGGCAGCAGCAGCAGCAGCAGCAGCGGCAGCAAGCAGGCCGACCCCATGGTTCAGCCATCTGTCAGTGGAGCACAAGGTGCAGGTGGGGCGGGCGTGCAAGATGCTGATAGATGTGGGGCGGCTGGAGTGGCTGCAAGACAGGGGGCTGGGGGTGGAGTATGTGGAGTACACCACTGTTGATGTGTCGCTGGAAAACAGGATGCTGCTTGCTGTTGGGAACCAAGAAAAACCATAGGGTTCATTTGCAGGGCCCAAAATTGGTTTTAGAGCATCCTTGAGAATAAGGGTCCATTGCTGACGTCACCCTGTCAGCCAGGATCCTTTTTTAAGCACCCTGTCAAAATCAGGGTAAAATGAATTATGTAAAATAATACCCGTGTTGTGTAAGGGTTAAATATTTCCTAAGTAACTAAAATGCTACATTCGCTTTGTTAGCTTGATGCGATACCCTGCGCCCTACACTACAAGCGAAAACATCGCGAGGGGTTGGGGGAGAGGCGAGGAGGAAGACGGGGGAAGTGGGGCTGGGAGATGTCGGGGAAATGTGGGACGTGTGGCTGTGAAATACAGGGAATCGGGGAGATTGGGGCAGAGGAGTGGGGGAACTGGGGCTAGGAGAGTCGAAGGAAACGTGGGGAGTGGGTCTGTTGGGGAGGGCCGAAGGAAAGGGGATGAACGAGGCTGGGGGAGGCGAAGGGAATAGAGCGAATCGAGCTGGCAGAGGCAATTGACACTTGGGGAGCATGGTCGGGTTGAGAAAGGCGCGAAATGTGGGGTAGGTTCGAGATTAGAGATGCGATACACAGCAGATTTCAACTGTTCATCGCTTTCTGGTTCAGTGCATTTTTTTCCGCACCCCGTCTGGTAAGGCTAAAATCTACAACACACTGGCAAAATCAGCCTATTCTGTATGTGAACTGTTGAAGTGAGGAATGATATCACTAGCAAGAATGTGAGTACAAATATGAAACCCTAGAATTGTGTACCCCCTAAGGCTAAACCCACTGTAGCCTACAAAGCTACAACATATATAATGTTTGACACACCCCCATAGGCAAAGTGGGGGACAACAAGGGGTCACAAGACCAGTCAAGCAAAGCAAAGCAAGCTCAGGGTGGATCTCAATGTCACCACACAGTCTGAGCACAAGTTCAAGGCCACAAGGCCAGTTCACATGCAAGATTACATATATATAATGCTAAACAAGCAAGAGCAGGCATATATATATGTAACAGTACATGCAAGGTCAAGAGGCGAGCAAGTGAGGCAAGGTAGGCACAAGACCTAACTGAGTACAGAAGCGCTGATGATCACAAGGCGCGAGTGCCTTAGTGAAGATATCAGCAGTGTTGGCCTGAGAGGCCACGTAAGCAAGGCGCAGCTGACCACGCTGCTGCAGCTCACGAGCAAGGAAGTAGCGAAGAGCGATGTGCTTCGTTCTGTGCTCCAGTCTGTGCTCCCGACACAAGGCCAGCATGGCCTTGTTGTCTACGTACAGCACTGGAGGAGAACGAGGCGGCTCTCCCAGGTCAGTCAGCAGGTAGGTGAGCCAGCATAACTCCTGTGCAGCCATGGCCCCTGCGTAGATCTCAGCCTCACAACTGGAACTGAGAACAGAAGACGAGCGGGTAGACCGCCACGAAACAGAGCCGGAACCAAGGCTGAAAGTGTAACCCTGTGACGACCGCTGCGTAGCCTGGTCGTCAGCCCAAGAAGCGTCTGCGTGACCAGTGAGGACCACTGGACTATGCCCTCCAAGCACAAGCCCCATGCCCGACGTACTGCACAAGTAGCGCAACACCCTCTTCGCTGCAGCCATGTGCTCTGGTCTGTGTCTCCCAGGAGCAACATAGCGTGCCAGAATGCTAAGAGGGTATGCAAGGTCAGGTCGAGTGCAGGTCATCAAGTACATGAGGCAGCCAACAAGCTCTGGGTACGGGCCACTCGACTCTACGGACTCATCCGAAGGCAGAGCTGAGAGCGAGTGGCGCGTAGACAGAGGAGTGGCCTGAGGCGAGGAGTACGTGAAGCCGAAGCGCTGAAGGACCTGCTGCACCATGTGTGACTGAGTCAGGGTAATGGTGCGCTGTGCTCTGTCCCGGGTGATCTGCAAGCCAAGGTAGCTGCGCAGTTCACCCAGGTCTGTGCACGTGTGTCTCTTCTGCAGCTCGGACTTCACGTAGGCGAGTCCAGCAGTGTCAGCTGTAGCAAAGACCAAGTCGTCGACGTACACGAGGTTCTAGAACGGCGGCAAAGAAGTGTCAGTGCGCAGAAACAGCGACGGGTCGGCAGTAGAAGGAGCAAACCCAAGAGCCGCAAGTGTAGTCCTCAGTGTGTCGTGCCACTCACGAGGTGCCTGGCGGAGACCGTAGACTGGCCGCCGGAGGCTCCACTGGGTGCCAGGAGGAAAAGTCCCAGTGAAGCCAGGTGGGCGGCGCAGCCAGATCTCCTCGTGCAGACTGCCCTGCAAGAAAGCAGTGCTGAAGTCCAGAGAGTGCAGCTCGTAGTCTCGGTGAGCGGCTATGTGCAGCAGTACCCGAAGAGTGGTCATCTTCGGGGTGGGAGAGAAGGTCTGAAAGTAGTCAACTCCCTGCCGCTGACTGAAGCCACGAGCCACGTAACGCGCCTTGAAGACAGGCGGAGAACCCGGCGGCCGCTTCACCCTGAAAATCCACATGCCACTGACGATGTTCGC